CTCTCTGACCTATTAGGAGATAGAAGAGCTTGCTCATTGCAAAATATCAAGAGGAGGAGCTCTTGCAGAAGTCATGACCTGTTAGGAACCAGAGGAGATAGAAGAGCTTGCTCATTGCAAAAGGGGAAGCGGAGGAGCTCTTGCAGAAGAGGCAAGGAGCTCCTTCACTTGCTACAAAGACACAGAGGAGCTTTCAGACGACGTATATTCAGAGATAGCGAAACTCGATCACGTAGAGATAGAGACTCTCTTAATAGAGACTAATGAGTTATGTCATGTCTCATTTATCGGACAGAGAATGGCCCAGGGCGACCTTCAAAACTCTTCATTGATAGAGAAGCTATTTCGGAAAACAAACATGGTGGAGAACTCTCTCATTCCTGCAATGTGATACAGGAGGTCTCTCATGACCTCTTGTGAGATAGAGACCGGTTGCATCAGGGAAGTTTTCCCTGGAAACCCTTTGCTATTCCCTTACTTTGGTGCTGAAACCATCACGTTCTTGTTCCTTAATGCCCCAGTAAACCCTTGGAGAAAGAGGTGTTTTCAAGATGTGGTGTGGTATCTCATGTAGGAATGTACAATGGTTAGACACTAGCGCTCTTGCTTTCAAGAAGCAGTCTTGCAAGTAATGGCTCTGGGTTATGTCACGGGTTGGTTACGGTAATAGGCAGACTACACAAATACACCCTCCATTAAATTCCCGTAGCCCTATAAACCTTACACCCTGCACGCGAATCCTGAGCCCCCTAAGACTCCTATGCCCCCTACGATGAGATATAGTTCATGGGAGAGCTCTTATACCGTTTATGAATGCATTCTTCTATCTTTGAGATGAAAGAGCTCCTCTATCTTCTCATAGGAAATGAAAGAGATCCTGCATATGAAAAGAAAAGACCCTTCGAGAAAAGTTAAAGAATGGTAACGAATCCATGTCATCAATCTTTTCATGCGTAATGAGAGCGCTCCACACTCTTAATGGGACATGAAAGAGCTCCTCCATTTCTTTGAAATCAAAACCTTGCTTTCTCCCTGAGTGACAAAGATCTCTTGGAAATGAGAGATCTCTGCTACCACTTTCGAAAAAATGAGCTCCTATATCTCGGAGTCGGAAAGATAAAGATGTGAAAAGGAGCCCTCCCAAACCTACGAGGCGCCAGAGCACCCGCCCGCAGCTTTTCAAGCAGGAGAAAGGCTCTTTCGTAAGGGGCGGAGGAGCTCTGTCATTCCCTCAACCAGAGGGAGGGGAGCCCTCTCATGACCTATTCAAGAGAGAGGAGATAGAAGAGCTTGCTCATTGCTCTTTAGGATGCGGAGGAGCTTTTGCACAAGAGGCAAGGAGCTCTTTTACTTCTACAAACGCATAGAAGAGCGTTTAGATGACCTGTTACGAAATAGAATAAATGCTGTCTCACGTAAGCGAGAGAGACTGATGAGTTATGCGACGCTCCATTTCAGGGATAGGCCTTCGAAACCTTCAATTAGGGTTGATCTCTCGCAAAAAGGTAAAAGAGCTATGTCATTTCCTACGAAGCGATAAGCAGCCTAGAGACAATCGGCTTCTCTCATGTTTGCTTCATGGATAGAGAAGCTTTTCTCAACCAAAACCAAAGAGACGGATCATGTCCCATTGAAAGATAGACGAGTTCTGTCTTTGTACGTTACGAGGTGGGGGAGCTCTTTCACAAGAGGTAGGTAGAGGACTCTCTCATGTCCGGCAAAGAGATAGAGACGATCTTTCATGACCCGCTACGAGATAGAGAGCCTCTTTCATGTAAAGGGTAAGATATAGAAGAGCTGTGAGCTCCTTTACCTATCGACGGGAACTCTTATAGCTTTCATGAATGAGTTCTTGCCAGTGAACAAAGGGAGCTCTTTCACAAAGGGTAGATAGAGACCTCTCTCATTTCCTGTAAAAGAAAGAGGAGGTCTCTCACGACCTGATTATTGCGAGATAGAGAAGCTATGTCATATAAAGATAAGAAATGGTAGAGCTGAGGACTCCTCTGCCTAGTGACGGGAAATCAGTTAGATAGGACATGAGAGAACTCTCATACATTTCTTATGAATGAGTTCTTCAATCTCTGAATAGAAAATGAATGAGCTCCTGTGTCTTCGCATACGAAATGACAGTGTGGAAATGAGCTGTCTCATGACCTGTTAGGAAACAGAGGAGATAAAGAGCTTGCTCATTGCAAAAGAGGAAGCGGAGGGCTCTTGCAGAAGAGGCAAGGAGCTCCTTCACTTGCTGCAAAGATACAGAGGAGCTTTCAGATGACCTATTCAGAGATAGCGAAACTCGATCACGTAAACGATAGAGATTGAAAAGTTATGTCATGCCCCATTTCAGGGATAGAGAATGGCCTTCCAGACTTTCATTTCGAATAAAGGAGAGATCTGTCACAGAAAGGTAGAAGAGCTATTCATTTCTTATTATATCACGGGTAGACAAGCTTTTTCTCAAATACAAACAAAAAACCTGGCTCATGCACCATTGAAAGATAGACGAGTTCTGTCACTCTCGATCACAAGGTGGAGGAGCTCTTTCACACGAGGTAGGTAGAGCACTCTCTCTTTTCTTGCAAAGAGATAGAGAAGATCTGTCATGACTCCATGAACCGTTACGAGATAGAGAAGCCTCTTTCATGTAAAAGATAGGTCATGGTAGAGCTGAGAGCTCCTCTGCCTAGTGATGGCAAACGAGAAATAGGAACCAAAGGAGATAGAAGAGGTTGCTCATTGCAAAATAGGAAGCGGAGGAGCTATTGCAGAAGAGGCAAGCAGCTCCTTCACTTGCTGCGCAGACACAAAGGAGCTTTCAGATGACCTGTTCAGAGATAGCGAAACTCTCTCACGTAAACGATAGAGACTGATGAGTTGTGTCCCCATTCAAGGGATAGAGAATGGCCTTCCAAACTTTCATTTCGGGTAAAGAAGAGATCTGTCGCAAAAAGGTAGAAGAGCTATGTCATTTCTTATGCATCGATAAACGGCTACTCGCATGATTTCTTCATCGATAGAGAAGCAGCTATTTCTGAATAGAAATTCACAATGGAGCTGTCTCATGTCCCAGTGAAAGATAGACGAGTTGTGGCATTTGATTTTGAGGTGAAGGAGCTCTTTCACAAGAGGTAGGTAGAGGACTCTCTAATGTTCTGCAAAGAGATAGAGACAATCTTTCTTGACCCGCTACGAGATAGAGGAGCCTCTTCCATGTAAAGGGTAGGATGTGGTAGAGCTGTGAGCTCCTCTACCTATCGACGGGAAATTAACAAGAAAGTACATTCGAGAGCTCTTACAGCTTCTATGAATGAGTTCTTGTGATTGAACAAAGGGAGCTCTTTCACAAAAGGTAGATAGAGACCTCTCTCATTTCCTGCAAAAGAAAGAGGAGGTCTCTCATGACCTATTGCGAGATAGAGAAGCTATGTCATATAAAAGATACGAAATGGTAGAGCTGAGCGCTGGTGACGGCAAATGAACTAGGTAGGACATGAGAGAGCTCTTATACATTGTATGAGAGATTTCTTATATCTATATCTCTTGTGAACGAGTTCTTCAATCTCTGACTAGGAGATGAATGAGCTCCTGTATCTTCTCATACGAAATGACAGAATGGATATAAATGATGTCCTCTAGCTGTTAACGCAACATGAAAAAACCTCCTCTATCCCCTAAAAGAGAAGGAGAGAGGGAAGCCCGCTCATGACCTATTAGGAACCAGAGGAGATAAAAGAGCTTGCTCATTGCAAAATAGGAAGCGGAGGGCTCTTGCAGAAGAGGCAAGGAGCTCCTTCACTTGCTGCAAAGATACAGAGGAGCTTTCAGATGACCTATATAGCGAAACTCTATCACGTAAACGATAGCGAGTGATGCGTTATGTCATGCCCCATTTGATGGACAGAGAATGGCCCAGAGTGGCCTTCAAAACTCTTCATTGATAGAGAAGCTGCGAAGCTATTTCTGAAAATCGACATAGAAGAGAACTCTCTCATTTCCTGCAGCGTGAAAAAGGAGGTCTCTCATGACCTATTGCGAGATAGAGAAATTTCACGTAAGAGTTAGGTAATGGTAGAGCTGGGCACGCCTCTGCCTCTTGACGAGAAATGAGCTCGTGTATACTTCATGAATGCGTTCTTCTATCTCTCAGATGAAAGAGCTCCTCGATCCTTCTTATAGGGCATGAAAGAAATCCTGTGTTCGAAATGAAAAGACCCTTTGATAAGCAAAAGAAAAAGGGAAACGAATCGATGCCTTCTATCTTTAGTGCAGAGCTTCTCACTTCTAATGCGACATGATAGAGCTCCTCTATTTTCTTGGAAATGAAACACCTTGCGTTCTCTCCTGAGTGAAAGATGTCTCTGTCGTGGAAATGAGATCTCCTCTATGTTTCTAAGAAATGAGATAGCTCACCTCTACCTCGTAATCGGAAATGAGAGAGCCCTTCGCCCCTCTTCAGGCTATGAAACAACTTGTCTATCTCTTACTTCAAAGTGTGCTAGAGCTACATGGCTGCACTTGCTGGCGCCGGTGCACACACAGACCAAACCTTCACTATTACTGTTACTACTACTAATACTATTACTAGTATTATTACTATTCCTATTCCTATTACTATTACTAGTACTATTATTATTCCTATTACAATTACAGTCAGTATTATTATACTCATAATAATATTAAAATTATTATTATTATTATTGCACTACTACTGAAAGAAGAACCAGCCGTGAAATAGACCCTAAAGGTCTCGGCCACATATATATATATATGTGGTTTAGGGAACAGTTGTTTCGGGTTGGATTCGGGTTGGGGTTCAGGAAACACCCCACATAAACCCTAAGCTCTAAACTCCTTTGAGTTGCACCCTAAACCCTAAACCCTAATTAAACCCTAAACCCTAAACCCTAAACCCTAAACCCTAAACCCTAAACCCTAAACCCTAAACCCTAATCCCCACACCCTAAACCCTAAACCCTAAACCCTGAATCTTACCTGAGGTGGGCGAGATCCTGCAATCGTGCGCCGCTGTGAGTGGCCCGACGTTCCAAGGGCCCATGGCCCTGGGTTAGGGCTTAAGGAGCCCTAAACCCTAAACCCTAAACCCTAAACCCTAAACCCTTCTTCAACTTAAGGGTTCGCAGGGTTTGCGGCAGGGGGGGGGGGGGGCGGTGTAGGGACTGCGGGCGGAAGATTGTTTTGCAATGTTGCAGCGGCTCAGGCGTTGGAGGTTTGGGGTTTAGGGCAAGTTTCGGCTTTAGGGTTTAGGGTGTAGGGTTTAGGGTTTAGGGTTTAGGGTCTAATGTTTGCGCTCGAATAGCAACCAGGCTTACAGTAATTAGGTTTTTGAGCACCCTAAGTTGGGCCGGCTATCCGAATTTTGACCTCACCCTAAACCCAAAAAACCCTAACCCTAACCCCGATATCCTAAGCCCGAATCCTCAAACCCTAGTCACACTAAACCCACTGCCTGAGTTCCCTGATCCTCCAAGCAGGCTGGCCCTGAACCTTTGCTGGCCTTTTTAATCATGAGAATGAGGGGTCCCCCCCCCCTCTCCCCCTTCTCCGGAATTAGGTTTTTGGTTTAGGGTGCCTCCAAGGAAAGAGTCCTTGGGAGTCAAACCAGGTCTCTCAACGCACCTAGATTTGAACCCTAAACCCCCAAACCCTAAACCCTAAAACCTAAACCCTAAACCCTAAACCCTGGCTTGACTTGGCCTAGGCAAAGACTTGGTGTTGCAGGCTCGCCTGGGTCTGACGAACCGGAAGATGTGGCAGGTGCAAGCGAGGGTCTAAACCCTAAACCCTAAGCCCTAAACCCTAAACCCCAAACCCCAAACCCTAAACCCTAAACCCTAAACCCTAAACCCTAAACCCTAAACCCTAAACCCTAAACCGCACTTAAGGTTGAGGGTGTAGGGTTTACAATGGGGCTTTGGGGCTAGGGCTGACTGTTTTGGGCTTGTTGACCCCTTTTTTGAAGATAGAAACCTTGAAGAAGCACGGGCCGCAGGGTTTAGGGTTTAGGGTTTAGGGTTTAGGGTTTAGGGTTTAGGGTTTAGGGTTTAGGGTTTGGCGCAGATTGAGGGAGCGTGTTTTAGGACTACTCGCTTAGCCAATACCTGACCTTCAGGCACTTTTGTCGGGCTCATTCCGAAACCCTACTTCCCCAAACCCCAAAGCAATGGGGCTTCCCAGCCCGAGCTTGGTAGCTAGGGTTTGGGGTTTAAGGTTTAGGGTTTAGGGTTTGGGTTTAGGGTTGAGGGTTTAGGGTTTAGGGTTTAGGGTTTAGGGTTTAGGGTTTAGGGGTTTAGGGTTTAGGGTTTGGGGTTTAGGGGTTCGATATCAGGCTCAAGATTTGCGACATAGTGGGGGCGCCCCTCCCTTCCACCAATCCCCAAACCCTAAACCCTAAACCCTTGACCCAAGACAGGATTAGAAATCACGCCTGCTGCTGAGGCTTCTTAGAGGCCCCTAATTCAGCAATGTTCCCCCCAAAGCCTGGCCAAAGCCTACAGCCTAAACCCTATAAACCCTCACCCAAGAAAAACTTGCCAAGGCTTCCTAGAGGAACCCAGAAAGCCCAATACCTCTAAATAAAGCAATGTGCACTCTAAGCCCCAAAGCCTAAACCCTAACCCTGAACCCTCAGGTCCAGAGCGGAAGCCACACCTAACAGTAACTCAGATTCGTAGACTCCCCGGAAGCCCGGGGGTTTAGGGTTGATTTAGGGTTTAGGGTTTAGGGTTGAGGGTTGAGGGTTGAGAGGTTAGGATTTAGGGCCCCTAAACGCACGAACGCTAGGCCCCAAACTTGCATAAACCCCCGCCGAAGCCCCGAAACCCTCAAAAGCCCTAAACAAACCTAAGCCCTCAACCCTCTCAAGCCCTAAACATACCCGCAGCACCCTCAACTAGCCTAAAGCCTTTAAACCCTAAACCCTGAACCCTAAACCCTAAACCCTAAACCACCTGAGGTGATGTCGGAGCCAAAGTACGTCAGGGGTCAGATCGAGCAGCTGGCGCCTTTGCTATGTCTCTGCAGGGTTTAGGGTTTAGGGTTTAGGGTTTAGGTTTAAAGGGAATTATAAATTTCCAATGTGCTTAGGGTTTTGGGTACCCGAAACCATAAACCCTAAACCCTAAACCCTAAACCCTAAACCCTAAACCCTGCTCTCGAGGCACGCGTCTATCCATGGATCAAGTTTGCCAGCGATCGCGGACTCCTTGAGCGTCTGAACTTGGCGTCCATCCACAAGCGGCGTGGCAGCTCAAGGTTTTGGAGGGTTTAGGGTTTAGGGTTTAGGGTTTAGGGTTTAGGGTTTAGGGTTTAGGGTTTAGGGTTTAGGGGGTTTGAGAGGGTTTTGGGTTTAGAGATTAGGGTTTAGGGTTTATAGGCTTTAGGGCCCTAAACCCCAAAACCGTAATCGGGCATGATAGGAGGCAGGGTTTAGGGCCTAAGGCTTAGGGCATAGGGTTTGGGGTCTAGGGTTTAGGGTTTAGGGTTTAGGGTCCAGGGTGTAAGGTTCAGCGTTAAGGGTTTTTCTCGTATTCATGGAGAGTGTATATATGGTTCCTTGTACCTTTTTGGTGAGTGTATCTGTTGCGTGTCGTTTCGGAGATGCCAGCAGCATAAAGCCTACTGCGTATACCTTAGTTTCAGTTACCTATTCAAGCCTAAACCCTAAGCCCTATGCCCTAAGCCCTAAACCTTTAACCCTAAACCCTAAACCCTAAACCGTAAACCGCCTAAACCCTAAACCCTAAACCCTAAACCCTAAACCCTAAACCCTAAACCCTAAACCCTAAACCCTAAACCCTAAACCCTAAACCCTAAACCCTAAACCCAACGGAATCCGCAGGTGGGGTGCTATGCAGATGCACTTCAAGCAGCTGAACCTCGACAGTTCTTGAATGGTAGGGTTTCGGGTTTAGGGTTTCGGGTTTAGGGTTTAGGGTTTAGGGTTTAGGGTTTAGGGTTTAGGGCCAGGGTTGAGGGTTTAGGGTTCAGTGAGGGCTGAGTTTTACTCTTCAGAAGTTTTAGGGTTTAGGGTTCAGGCTTACCCTAACGCTAAACCCTAAACCCTAAACCCTAAACCCTAAACCCTAAACCCTAAACCCTAAACCCTAAACCCTAAACCCTAAACCCTAAACCCTAAACCCTAAACGCAGCTCAGGAACTATGAGGCAGATGACAGCAGTGAGAGTTCGTGTTGAAATCTTTGCGCTTTCAATTCTTCGCTTGTTTGAAGCCCCCGGGATGCTGTGGGCCAGGTATCTCCATGGTTTAGGGTTTAGGGTTTAGGGTTTAGGGTTTAGACTTTAGGATTTAGGGTTTAGGGTTTAGGGTTTAGGGTTTAGCATTTAGGGTTACCCTAAACCCTACCCCCGAAACCCGAAATGCTTATGAGGGACCCCGCGGGTTGTTTAGGGGCCATTAACCCTACAGGATAATACGCCAAACCCTACACCCGAAACCCTAGACCCCAACTCCTAAAAACCCTAAAGCCTTAAACCCTCACAAGGGACCCGTTTGGGGCTGCTTGGGCAGACTACACCTACCAATTCCTTAAGAACCCCCAACCAATTTCAAAAAAGTAAGTCTTCCTCATAAGGGCAATGTGGGATTAGATTTTTTGGGGGTTTAGGGTTTAGGGTTTAGGGTTTGGGTTTGGGGTTTAAGGTTTAGGGTTTAGGGCTTTTGGCTTAGAGCTTAGGGGTTTTCTTAAGCAAATAGCAGACATGTAGGGGTCATGAGGATGCAGGGCCTCTGCTAGGGCCGATGCTGGGTTGCCAGTGTGCCTGAAGAGAAGCTTGCCAACAAGGAAGTCGGGTTCAGGGTTTAAGGTTAGGGTTTCGGGTTTAGGGTTTAGGGTTTAGGGTTTAGGGTTTAAGGTTAGCGTCTAGGGTCCTCAATCGTAAATCGTAAACCCGGAACCTGAACCCTAAACCCTGAGCCCAGAACCTTAAGCCCCACCCTGGTCCCAAAAACCCTGCAACGGGTTTTGGGTGTTGCAGTTCCATTCTACATGTCCCTTGTTGGGTTCAAGAGGGCAATATGCAGGGTTCCGGGTTTTAGGGAATAGAGGGGGCCATATTAGAAGTATACAAGGAACCAGGTACGGGGCGCAACTTTTGGGTTGGAGCTTGCAATGGATCGAACTCTAACTAGGATAACCAGTGATACCTTTCTTGCCTTGTTGCGGAGAAAAGGTTCCCTAAGCTGTAAACTCTAAACTCTGTTAATTCCCTTGAAATAGAAAACGCTGTCCTCTTAGTTCTCGGCTTGCTACCCTATACCCTAAACCCTAAACCCTAAATATTCACCATTCAACGCAGTGTTGCATGATGGACGTTCGGAACAGTAGCTTGGTAGCCCAGTGGTGCTCTTTACCCTTTTTTTGGTTTTAGGGGTTTAGGTTTTAGGGTTTAGGGTTAAAGGAACCAACCCGAACAGGGTGCCCTTATTATAATATGGTTACTGGGCTACTAAGGTAGTGTCTAGAATCACAGTTGGTGGGCCTAGTCTTCAGATTCTTGGCGCGTGTTGGCTTTCAGCTACAATGGGGCAAACATGACGTTGCACAAGTGTGCCGAATTCGATGTTTAACGTTTCAACACGCCCTGTCTGCCTGTTCAAGCTGTGGTTGATAGAATAGTCGAGTAAGAGTTGTTTTTGATGATGGACCCTTATAGTCCCTAACCTCCTTTAAAGGGTTCTGATGAAGGGGCCCTTAATGTGTACGGGGTATATAAGAGGTATATAGGGGGGGGGGGGGGGGGGGGGGGGGTGTTTAATCGTTTAAGGGCCCATACTAAGGGACCATGTAACTACCCTGAACCCTAAACCCTAAACCCTAATCCCTAATTCCTAAACCCTAAACCTCCTAAGAGTTATGGTTGATGTTGCAGGAGCCTTCACCTTGCTGGTTTCTGTTTTGGTCGGGTTTAGGGTTGAGGGCTTAGGGTTTAGGGTTTAGGGTTTAGGGTTTAGGGTTTAGCGTTTAGGGTTTAGGGTTTAGGGTTTAGGGTTGCTGCAACCTCGCATTCGGCTATTTCAGTGCTTTAGGTTTTGGGGGTCACATGCATGGAACCTCCTGGCATCTTAACGATAGCCACCTACCAGTTGCATGGGCAGCAGACCGGTTTACTTTCTCGCAGGTGCCCATGTCACTTGCCTGATGCACTTATTTTTAAGGCTAGACGCTTGCGATCGCTGTTGGGTAATTACCCTTGACCCTAAACCCTAAACCCTAAACCCTAAACCCTAAACCCTAAACCCTAAACCCTAAACCCTAAACCTTTAATCCTAAACCAAAGCCCAAGACCGAATTGAATCCCGTGGACGTAGACGGTAATTGGTTGGGCTGGTTGTAACTTGTTTTTCATAGCTGTAACTTTTGTTTACTTGTGACTTTTGCGGTATAGGGTTTAGGGTTTAGGGTTTAGGGTTTAGGGTTTAGGTTTAGAGTGCTTCTAGGCTCAACGAGCGTGCCATTCGCGCAAGAAGCAAAGAGAGCAGACGCCCCTCGTAAAGTTGCAGTCCATGCCGGAAGGCTCCAACATAGCTCCTGTTTTCTATATCCCCCTTGGGAATTGTTTTTTGTATTTTGTTCATATAAAGCCCAAGAGGACATTATACATATTACTGTTATTAGGGTTCTAAGGGGTGAATAGTTTTGGGCAGGCTCCAATGTAGCTCCTGTTTTGGGTTAGTTACTGTTAGTTTAGGGTTCAGGGTTCAGGGTTTAGGCTTTAGGGTTTAGGGTTTAGGGTTTAGGGTTTAGGGACTAACAGGGTACTGCACAGGAGACTTGAGGTAAACAAGCTAAGGAGCGTGGCGTGAAGTGGTCTTGGCAGGGAAGCCAGTAACAGGGTTAGGGTTTAGGGTTTAGAGTTTAGGGTTTAGGGTTTAGAGTTTAGTCTAGGGTTTAGGGTTATGCCCTACAGCGCACCTGAGTCTCGCCTGTAGTCTGGCTTGAAAAGAGCCAGAATTTTTATCGGAACTGCAGCCGGGAGAACAGGGTAGCCGTCACGAGGCTTAGGGTTGAGGGTTTTGGGGTGCAGAGTTTTGGGTTTAGGGTTACGAGGCTTGGGGTTTGGGTTTTAGGACTGGGTACCAATTTGGGCTTTAGTTTTGCTCTTTAGGGTTTTGGGTTCAGGGTTCGTAGATTACTGATTACCATTTTGGGCTTATGGTTTTTTGATCTTTGATTTAGGGTTTATCGTTTTCAAGGGGCACCATCGTGAACAAGTTGTCCAACTGCCCCGCCCTCCTCCACCCCCCGCTATTGCACAGTTGCAGAACCCCGACCGCCACTAAACCCTAAACCGCGAATCCCTGAAATCCTGATACCTTAACCTGCTTCACATAAACCCTAAACCCTAAACCTTATGCCTTAAACCCTAAACCCTAAACTTGATTCCGTCTCGAAGCCGCGTAGGCTCCGGGACCCTTCACCCGCCAAGCCCTCAAACGCTCCCATTGTTCAAGGCCCTCAATCCTAAGCCTAGTAGTAGAGCAGGTAACCTTTAACCTTAGGGTTTAGGGTTTATAGTTTAGGGTTTAGGCTTTATGGGTAATCTAATCCCCGTATAGTCCTAATGGCTAACCTTGAGTTCCCCCCAGGTTACTGGACAGCTAAGCAAGCTAGGTACGCCCTCTGGGCAAGTTTTGCTGCTGGGGTGAAGAGGCTGCAAAAGCCTGAGCCCTAAACCTTAAACCCTAAACCCTAAACCCTAAACCCTAAACCCTAAACCCTACACCCCAACATCTATGAATACGTTTCAGACGTGTTTCAGGGTCATCCGAAGAAGAGTTGCCACCCAAGAGCGCTTCCTTGGGGATTGACGGCTTAGAAGACCTCGGATGTAGGGGGTTTAGGGTTTAGGGTTTAGGGTTTAGGCAGAGCACCGCCAAAAGCCCTAAACCCTAAGCCCTAAACCCTAAGCCCTAAACCCTAAAACCTAAACCCTAAACCCTAAACACTTGCCTCCTTGAGGGTTTTGTGTGTTCTTTCTCGACAGTGGGGCCACCCTGGTCTATCTGCTGGCATAGCCTTTGTATATCTACGGCCTGAGATGCTGCGCTGAACTCTGGGAGAGGGCTTGCGGTTGGTTTAGGGTTTAGGGTTTAGGGTTTAGGGTTTAGGGTTTAGGGTTTAGGGTTTAGGGTTTAGGGTTTAGGGTTTAGGGTTTAGGGTTTAGGGTTTAGGGTTTAGGGTTTGGGTAGAGTTTGGGCCTAGGCTTGTTCCCTCAAAGCTCAACATTCCTTAAAGTTGAAGCACTGAAACACCCTACCCCCCTAAAACCCCAAATTCTCTGGAGCCCTAAACCCTAAACCCTAAACCCTAAACCCTAAACCCTAAACCCTAAAGCAGCCCCAAACCCTAAACCTTAAACCCTAATCCCCAAACCGCACCCTAAACCCAAAAAGTCTTAAACCCTAAACTTTGGCGGAAGAGGGTGTTTTCCGACTCAATGCTGCTAAGGAGATAGCTATGGGGTTCAGGGTGTAGGAATAGTGGGTTTAGTGCTTCAGGGGAATATGCCGAAATCAGCAAGGGTTTAGGGTTTTGGGTGATCCCTAAACCCTAAACCCAAAGCCCTTATCCGAAGTTTCTAAAAGCAGTGTACGCAAGCTCTTCCGTGCGAGCGCCAACGCAGCACGGCTGATCTGCCCTAACCAGACGATTCGTGGACTGAACGGCACGCGGGTACGGTTCAGGGTTTAGGGTTTAGGGTTTACGGTTTAGGGGTAGGAACTCCGGATTTGGGCCCCTTGCAGAGCATGACTACGCCTCCCAACAGCTGCAGAAACATCACCTACTTGCTAACCTTAAACCCTAAACCCTCAACCCTACGAAGTCGCGCGATGTTTTCAACTCGGAATGCTTACCGCAGATCTTGCAACATTAGTTTCTAAAGGCCGCCTCTTTCATTGAAGCCAGAACCTTGTGGTTGAGGGATCCCTAAACCCACCCTAAACCCTAAGTAAGCACCCGAAAGAGTCTAGCGTTCAGGGCATAGGACAACCAACCCTCAGCCCGAGGACCATCCTAAAAGCACCGCTTCAGCCCAACTTTGTTCCTAAACCCGAAATCCTGAATCCTAAGCCAAAGTGTGGTGGTGAGTTTTTTCTTGTGTGAGCTTCAGGGTTTAGGGCCTACGGTGATGCGCCACAGCTGCTACCTCGGTGCCTTTCTGGCTTCCGCGCC